TCCATCCATCCATCCATCCATCCATCCATCCATCCATCCATCCATCCATCTAGCTACATACCTATTCATTTGGCTAGTTATCTATGGGCAGTGGTGGTATAGTAGATAGTGAATAGAGAGCTGACCTCAAAGTCAGGAAGACCCAAGTTCGGTTCCTGTCTCTGATGCATCCTGGGCAAATCACATAAAGTCTTAGGAGTTTTCTTAATGGGGAGCTCTTTACACTGGTGAAATTGCAAGTCTCAACAAAATATATGTAGACACACGCACCCGTATAAATATTTTTAACCTTTGATTTTATGAGCGTAGCAAGCTCCTGGTGAGAAACATCCTCCCCTTATGAAGATGGGCATCTTTGCCACAACTTACAACCTTGAAAGCAGCCCAGGACAGTAGGAGGCTGGGTAATTAACTCAGAGTCATAGATCTAGTACGTATCAGAGGCAGGCTCTGACCACTAGAATCCAGGGCAGCCTGACTCCAAGGCCTGATCTCTATACACTAAGTTATCATATGCTTCTCACAGACATAAATAGAACATTCCTCTGCACTAATGTCTTCTCTCAGTGCTTCTAAGAGGTGGTGATTCAATGGGAAGAACTCTGGATTTAGAGGGAGAATACCTGGGTTCAAGTGCCGGCACTGAAACTTACTACTTGAGTGACCACAGCAAGCTGCCTCATCTCCCTGAGCCTCGTTATCTCTACCTGTAAAACACAGTAGTTGGGCTGGACAACCTTTAAGGTCCCTTCTAGATTGAGTCAGTAAGTCAACCAATAAACATTTTAAGCACCTACTTACTATGTGCCAGGCGCTGTGCCAAGCACTGGGGATACAAAAAGAGGCAAAAGACAGTCCTTGCCCTCAAGGTGCTCACAGTTCAACAGAAGAATGGATCTAGGATCTAGGAAGGGCAGGGAGGTGACCTTTAGTTCTTGTGGAAGGCTACACAGAAGAGCATAAATTCTGTCAGATCTTGTCAGGCTGGAGAGGTTTGGCGCAACTGACTTGGAAATGGATAGTGAGTCTGTCTGCGGAAAACCAGCCTAAATTTGGAAAGACATCACTAGGCCTGACCTAGGATGCTAATTCTTTCTGATGCAAAAATTCCTCAAGTCAGTCTACCGAGGCATAGAGGGGCCCAATGCGTGCTGGTGGTAGGAATGGCCACCCCAATGACCTTGCAGGTCCTTTAAGTAATAAAGCATTGATGTGCATATATATGTGTGTGCATGACTATATGAATATAGATAGTCCACAATCTCACATACCATTCTTTCTTGTGATCAATATATGAATTTTTAACAGATAAAAAAATCGTTATTCCCAACGAACCTATTATCGCTGCAGCTGTGGTGGTTACCTGCACCATATTGTTTGGACTGATTGCAAGAAGAGAACAGATAATAAAGGTACCTGGGAATTCTAGGCTGGGGGGAGGGGGGTGTCAAAATCATCCAAAAGCCAAAGAGCCAATTGTACAGAGCTAGGAGCAGTTTTCTGTTCTGTTTCTTTTCCAAAGGGAGGGGTGCAGTAGAACAAATAAACAAACACTGACCTTGGAGTTATGGGACCTGAGTTCAAAACCCAACTCCTCCACTGTGGGATTGTAGGGGAATCACTTCATATGTCTAGGCCTCAGTTTCCTCATTTGTAAAATGAGAAGCTTGGACCAGATGGCCTTTGAGGTTCTTTCCAGCTCTACCTCAATGTGTCTATGAAATTCATCTCCCTAAAACCATAAATGAGATGGCCAAAATTAAGGTCAGCCCTCTCTCAGACATGCAAAATAATTTCTGTTGTGTTTGCTTTCAGCTCTGCATTAAAGACAAGAAAGCTCAAAGTGATACATCTCTGTAAGTATTTGGGGATTAATGATTTTCCACAAGCAGATCTACTTAGGGTAGCTGGTAACCAAGCTGTAACTAAGGTGGGACAATGGGGCTTTGTCTCAAGGTCCCAGGGGAAGGAATCATCCCTCTCTGTGGCAGCTTGCTTTCCCTGCATATGTAACCCTCTCCTCTTCCTTGCCCTCGCTGCTTCCCCAGGGTCCTGTGGGGGTGTTATTCCTGTCCCAGGGTCCACTTTCCCTACTGTTTTGCCTCTCTGCCTCCTACCACTTGGTGGTTAGGAAAGGTTAGAGATCTTGAGTTGAATGATTCTGGGGTGGGGTAGGTAATCCAGCTTCTCTTCTGAATGACTTCACTTGGACAGACTGTCCTTATCACTGCCCCACAGTTATAACTCTGCTGATAACCCAAGTGGATGATTTTCCTTGGGAAATCCTTCTGTTTAAGAGGTTAAGAGGAGGGAGGAAGGGAATCTGAGAGTATGCCTACCTTTAGTAGGAATAGAAGTGAGGTAAGACTACCTAGGTTGGCAGGCTGCCCAGACCTAAGCACCACCTTCAGCCTCAGGCCTTCACCTCCTTTTGAGCAATTTCTGGCTGATGAAACTGCCTTTTTATTGCCATGTGGTGTCAATGACTGAGAGGGCCTGCCCCAAGGGAAGACACCCAGGTCAAACTCCTTCATGCTAGGGCTAGGAGCAAGGCTGAGGCTATAGATTGCATCCTCAGCATCTTTGGGTCCTATGTCAGCACTACTGGCTCCCATCAAAGTTGAGAAGCCAATGGGTAGAGCAGATGAAGATGGTACCCTTGGGAGACCTGGAATTCTCCCCTATGTTCCATGTGCCACATTTTCCCATTGATGGAGTTCTTGGCGTTCATCTGTGCTTCTTTCTGATTTTAGGTGAGGAATCAAACAGCCTTTCTAATACGAGAGGACAGCAGTACCAGGGCCTCTCTGAGTGCAAAGTCTCTTGTGTATTCCTTGCTTTTATTAAAATGTACTCGCTTTGGATCGTGGGTGATGATGAACAGGTGTTGGGTTAATCATTTAATGCCAATCTATTTCTTTTGGCTAATTCAAGGAACTAAGAGGAGAGGGATAGAATGGAAACAGAAGAAATCTTAGAATTTGGACAAAGCTTCTGCTCGGGGCTTAAGTTAGTAATGATCCTTCTCCTTGCACAACATCCCATTTCCCACCCCCACACCTTTGCATAAGTATCTGGAATTCATTTCCCCTTCATCCCCCTTTCCTAGAATCTCTGACTCCTTTAAAAACATAGCTCAGATAAAATCTCTTAGTAGGGCCCTTTCCTAATCTCCCCAGTTATTAGCACCCAATTACTTTGTACATCCCTCCCTGTCTGCCACTCCTACCTCTGGAATATAAACTCCTTGAAGGCAGGGAATGTTTTGTGGTTTTTTTTTTTAATCTTTGTATTATCAGTTCCTAGCACAGCATATGCTGGGAACTTCATAAACATTAGTTCAACTGAATTGAATTTCCATTTAGCTTGTATCTGGTACCTTCTCAGTCTTGAGATTGTGTGACCTTTATTCATTTATGGGCACACAAAACTAGCATGAGATGGGGCCAAAGAAAATGTCTGTTTACAAGCACCCCCTGCCCTCTTTTTTACACAACAATTTGTAGAGCTATGCATTAGTTATGAATTAATATATGCTCATTGGACACATTTAGATTAAAACACCCGGCTTTCCTTAAAGTTGATGTATCTGTGTTTTTTCCCCTTGATTCTTTGCCAGTGTGCATGCCCCAATCCCAATTTCTTTTCTTCTCTCAATTTGTAGCTGTACAAGTTTCTCTGATAAAGGTCATTTCTCAAATATATAGAGAACTGAGTCAAATATATAAAAATAAGAGCCATTCCCCAATTAATAAATGATCAAGAGATACAAAGTCAGTTTTCAGATGAAGTAATCGAAGCTATCTATAGCCATATAAAAAAATGCTCTAAATCACTATTAATTGGAGAAATGCAAATTAAAACAATCCTGAAGTACTATTTCACACCATTTGATTGGCTAATAGGACAGAAAAGGAAAGGGACAAATGTTGGAGGGAATGTGGGAAAATTGAAACACTAATGCACTGTTGGTGGAGTTGGAAACTGATTCAACAATTTTGTACAGCGATTTGGAACCATGCCCAAAGGGCTATAAAACCATGCCATGCCCTTTGACCCAGCAATACTATGTTGTTCAAATGCCAAATGTACTACACTTGCCAAAAAGACTATTTTATGGAGAACTAGCACAGGGCAAGCACTCACATGGTGGTCAGAAAAAGCGATACAATGACATTCTTAAGGTCTCTCTTAAGAACTTTGGAGTTGATTGTGTGACATGGGAGACACTGGTACAAGACTGCCTAGCATGGCAAGCCCTCATCAGAGAAGGCACTGTGTTCTATAAGCAAAGCAGAAATGAAGTAGTTCAAAAGAAATAAAAGGTGCGCACATTTAGAGAATCCACTCCAAATGTTTACGCAGCCTATTTGTCCCACATATAAAGCATTCCAAACTCGTATTGGTCTGATTTGCCACAGTTGGACACCCTTGTAACTTGACTCTAACATAGTGATGTCATTTTGGTCCTCTTTAAGAACAAAAGACAACAACCAGCCAACCACTACTATGTCTGTATCCCAAAGGAGAAAAAAAAAAAGGAAAAGGACCTATATGTACAAAAATGTTTATAGCAGTGCTTTGATGGTGGCAAAAAATTGAGAGGATGCCCATCAATTAGGGAAGGGCTGAACAAGTTGTGATATATGATTGTGATGGAATACTATTGTGCTATAAGAAATGATGAGCAGGATGCTTTCAGAAAAAACCTAGAAAGACTTATATGAACTGATGCAAAGTACAGCAATACTATAAAATGATTAACTGTGAATGACAGCTTTTCTCAGCAATAAAATGATCAACTTTGAAGGACTTATGATAAAAGATGCTATCCATCCCCAGAGAAAGAACTGATGGAGTCTGAACACAGATTGAAGCATACTTTTTTTTTTTGCTTCATTTATTTTTCTTGGATTTGGGAGTTGTTTTTTGTCTATGTTTTCTTTTATAAGATGACTAATATGGAAATATGTTTTGCATAACTACGCATGTATAATTTATATCAAATTTCTTGCCTTCTCAATGAGGGGGGCAGAGAGGGAGGGAGAGAATTTGGAACTCAAAATTTTAAAGACAAATGTTAAAAATTGTTTTCAAATGGTGAGCAGTGCATTTCAAAAAACCTGGAAAGACTTGAGTGAACTGATGTTGAGTGAAATGAGCAGAACCAAGGGAATATTGTACACAGTAACAGCAACATTGTGTGATGACCAAATTTGTTTTTTTTGTTTTGTTTTGTTTTGTTTTTTCTTTTTTTCTTTTATTTTTTTCCAAATTTGTTAAGACTTAGCTTTTCTCAGCAATGCAGCAATCTAGGACAATTCCAAAAGTCTCACGATGGAAAAACTATGGAATCTGAATACAGAATACTGATATAGCATACTATTTTCCCTTTTTTTTTCTTTCTCATGCTTTTTCCATTTGCTCTGCTCCTTCTTTTACAACATAACTAATGTGGAAATAAATTTAATATGATTGTACATGTATAGGCTATACATTGCATGCTGTCTTGGGGAGGGGAAACGGGAGAGAAGGGGAATTTTAAAACTCAAAATCTCATAAAAGTGAATGTTGAAAACTAAAAATAAATTGTTTTCACATGTAATTGGGGGAAAATAAAATACTAAAGAAATAATTAAAATGTTTTAAATTGAATACTAAAACTTAAATATACAATAAAAAAGAAACACTATAAACTTAAATATTGAAACTTATATACAAAATAAAAAAAAAGCATTGTCATGTGCACAACAGAATATAAGAGAGGATTCAAAATATACGGCAATAAATTTCCATTTCGAGAAAGCCTATATAATAAATACTACACATCATATTGAGAGCTGTCCATTTTTTCTTTGCTTCCTTGTATGTTTTCTTTTGTTTTTGGCTATGCACTTCTTACTTTGTTCTTTTTTTCCCCTTCCTTCCTCCCTTCCTCCTCAGAAGGCTACAATTAAGCTCAGATACACACACACATACACACACACACACGTACGTGCACATATACATATATATACTCATACATATGTATACATATACAAACACATACACACAAAGTTATACATATATACATATATATACAGACTTACATACACATACATATACTTAGATATCTATAATCATACTCATATATAGACAAATACATTCATATGCATCTATGTAAGACCATACTATACTTATTTGTCCTCTGTTTCTCTGAGGGTGGCTACTCTTTATAAGTCCAAGTCTTTCCATATTTTACCAAGTCCACCAACTAGTCATTTCCTACACCACAGCAATATTCCAATTTTATACTGTCTAGTTATTTTAAATAGTCCAAAACAACATTGATGAATATGGCTGACACATAGTGTAGTTTCCTTTTTGATTAAATCTATTTTAGCCTTAACTTTGTCTGAGATCATCATTACCACCCATGCTCCTTTTTCCCTAACAAATTCTACTCCTGATCTTCATTTTATATTTGTGCATATCTCTTATTTCCTATCCTGACTCCTCTACTTTACTTTTACCCACTAACTTGCCTTCCTATGACTTACTCTAGCCCCCCACACCACCCCCAAGGATCCCTCCCTTATCCTCTCATTCCCATTCATCTAAACACCCTTCTATATCCTCTTTATCCTTATTCCCTCACCCTCCCCTCTAAAGATCCCTCTCTTATCCTCTCCCCCCTTCCTATCCTCTTAGCCTTTTATTTCTTACTTAATTTAGAAGACTATTATACTCTTCTAGATATATATGTATTATTCTCTCATGAACCCATTCCCAATGAAAGTAGATTTCCAGAACTACCAGCTCTCCTCCCTCATCTAATTCTTCTGTGTTGGTTCTTCCTCTCACACCTCATTTGCATAAGA